TTCTATTCGACAGCCCAAAATTCCAAAAATTGGCTTGGTTTGAAAAACTTGACCCAATTAAAGTTAGGAAACTAGTCAAAAATGACAACTTTTGCCATGTCACCAAGTTAATCTACGTGTCAAAATATGATTAGTTAATCCACGTAAACTCTCTCTTACCTGCGCAAAACTTGCAACCCTGCTTCTCCTATTATTAGATAATTCACAAAGCTTCATTCTTCCTACTTCATAGAGTTCAATTTTTTTCTTTTATTTTAAATTTTCTTTAAACTTCTCTATCAAATCCATATCTGTAATAAACTGGTAAATCTTCTCTCTATATTTTCTCTTCGATTTGTTTCCGAGAATTCTCAGATTAACAGATCTGTGCCTTATTCTGGCTTTGTTCGCTCAGGTTAATCTGGTTCTGTGAATGTTTGTTCATGATGTGTGGAATTTTCGTGTGCTTTGTACGGGAATGAAATTGTTATTGTTCTGATTGCTGTCATTTTAGGGTTTGTTCTTGAATGCTTTTGACTCAACATATTGCTTGAAGCAGAGTGACGATGCCCCCATGATTTGATTGGTGTCTCATCTGGAATTTTTCTTGAATTTTTTGCTTGTTATGATTACTTGTGTTATATGATTTTTGCTGGTTGTCTAATTGGTTTGTCTCCTTTCTTTTAGTCAATGCATGTGCTAATTTTTTTTGAATTTTTTCAATATTTGTTGACATTTAAGCAATTAATTTAATTAATCATATATATAATTTTTTTTCATACTTATTCTAGGGACACGACTTGTTTCTAGATATGATGATCTTCCATTATCTGAGATTTGTGAGTTGAAGTTGATTTGTTTTCCTTTTTTATATAATTTTTATTGTCACTGTTTCTTTTATCGATGACTTGAATGTTCATAATCAAAATAATAAAGCCTATGTTTGCAGTGTTTTAATATTTTTTCTCATCGGCTTAACCTGGGTAGGACTCTTGTATATTTAGGAACTACTCCATGCATCATAGGTTTTGATGATCAGATTTCATGTGAAATTGTTGCAATCTTGCAGTTCCTGTTTCATCCAAACTCCATCCAGTGATAAAAATGGAATAACTTCATTAATTAATTGTTGCATTACTTTGTTTTTGTCATTTTATATTAGTTGTCATTTGGATGCAGAAGTGTTGGTTTAAAATACAATTTCTGGTTTTCTCCCTTATGTTCTATGACTTTGTGGTGCAGGTTAGACTTGTGTAGTCTGACAAGATGGGAGGTGGATTTAGAGTGCTTCACCTAGTTAGACCGTTTCTCTCATTTCTTCCGGAAGTTCAGACTGCTGATAGGAAAGTGCCATTTAGAGAGAAGGTCATATATACTGTGATTGCTCTGTTCATCTTCCTTGTTTGTAGTCAGCTCCCTCTGTATGGAATTCACTCTACAACTGGAGCAGATCCATTCTATTGGATGCGTGTTATCCTTGCTTCAAACCGTGGAACTGTTATGGAGCTAGGAATAACCCCCATTGTGACTTCTGGGCTAGTAATGCAACTCTTGGCTGGGTCCAAGATAATAGAAGTCGACAACAATGTGCGGGAGGATCGTGCTCTCTTGTTAGTATCTTTCTATGTAACTTTTTACTTTCTTGGCACATGTAGTTTTTACATTTTTTTTCTCTTACAATACCTATGATCTAGTTGGTTGTTTCTGTTGGTGTCAATTTTTCATGCAACCATTCATTTATTGACATATAGTTTATTATCTTCTGCACTGGGTTATGTCTTATGGGTGTCAGTTTTTATGAGCTTTTGCATATTTTGTGAGGTTTCGTCCTGTCATATATGCTTCCTATTGACATAATTTCTTTTCATATTCCAGAAATGGTGCACAGAAGCTACTTGGCATCTTGATAGCTGTTGGTGAGGCAGTTGCATATGTTCTTTCTGGAATGTATGGTAGTGTGGGCCAACTTGGAGTGGGAAATGCAATCCTCATTATCCTCCAGCTCTGTTTTGCCGGTATTATTGTGATATGTTTAGATGAGCTCCTTCAGAAAGGGTATGGTCTGGGATCTGGAATTTCTCTATTCATTGCCACGAACATATGGTAAGTTTTATTATCTTTGATTATTAGTAATAATTTAAATAGTTTATAATCTGTGTCCAGCATTGATCGTGGGTCTCATAATAACAACTATTAGAAGTGTGTGGTCTTTTATCAGAAAATTTATAAAGATGATCTCATTATGTTGCAGTGAAAACATCATATGGAAAGCTTTTAGTCCCACCACCATTAATAGTGGACGGGGAGCTGAATTTGAGGGTGCTGTCATAGCTCTATTCCATTTGTTGATAACTAGAACGGATAAGGTTCGAGCCCTTCGAGAAGCATTTTACCGGCAAAACCTTCCCAATGTGACAAATCTGCTTGCTACTGTCTTGATCTTCCTAATTGTGATATACTTCCAAGGTTTCCGAGTGGTTTTGCCTGTGAGATCAAAGAATGCCCGTGGGCAGCAGGGTTCTTATCCAATCAAGCTATTTTATACCTCCAATATGCCCATTATTCTTCAGTCTGCCCTTGTGTCCAATCTCTACTTCATTTCGCAGGTAGAGAAGTTTAAGGATGCTAAATTGCTATACGGAGTAAATTTTCGATACAGTTTTAATTAGATTTTATTGTATTTGTGCAGCTTCTACACAGAAAGTACAGTGGAAACTTCTTTGTTGATCTATTGGGAAAATGGAAGGAGACTGAATATGGAGGTGGTCAATCTGTTCCTGTTGGGGGTATTGCATACTACATCACTGCACCTTCCAGGTAAGAGAAGTGCTGCTCACCTTATGGTTTATGGTTTATTATAATATAAAATTTATGCTACTTTGTTATGCCGACATGATCTAAAATTTCAATTCAATCAACTAAATTTTACCACTGTTATTATTTGTTGCTCAATTTCCATTTTGGCACGTTTTTTGCAGCTTAGCTGACATGGCAGCAAATCCTTTCCATGCATTGTTCTACCTTGTGTTTATGCTGTCAGCATGTGCCTTGTTCTCTAAAACTTGGATTGAAGTCTCTGGTTCATCTGCTAGAGATGTTGCAAAGCAGCTGAAGGTACATACTGATTAGCATGCATTTTGTTTTGTATTTGTATCTTCAGTTCTTCAATATAATAATGAGCCTGTTTTCTCATCATTATTTTGTTTTGTATCTTTATGTTTGAATTTTTGTTTCCCTATTGAATTAGTACCGGAAATATATTCTTAAAATACTTGAAGCAAAATAGATATGAATCATAGGATCAGATCAGCCAACACATTGTCTAATGTAGTATTTAGCCCCAACTTTTCTTTGGGCTTCTCTTTCTAAATGGAGAAATGTTCATGTAGTATTCCTTTTTTAATAACCATGGGCAAAAAAGTTGAGCTTCTATAAAAGCTAGTTAGAGAATCCTCTAATTCAAGAAGGGAAGCCCAAAGTACTTAGGCCAAACACTACCTAAAATATTCAATTTTTGTAGCTTCATTGCAACTTTATTAGTAACGTGTTTTTAAGCTGGTAAGTCTGGTCTTCAAGCACTCTATTTTGATGCTTGTTAAATTTTCTGTTGTCTCATAGTATCATGGTTTTGAATTTACAGGAGCAACAAATGGTAATGCCTGGACATCGGGAGTCAAACCTGCAGAAAGAACTGAACCGATACATTCCCACTGCTGCAGCATTTGGAGGCATATGTATTGGTGCCCTGACTGTGTTGGCAGATTTCATGGGGGCAATTGGTTCAGGGACTGGAATATTGCTTGCAGTGACAATCATATATCAGTACTTCGAGACATTTGAGAAGGAGAAAGCTAGTGAGCTTGGCTTCTTTGGTTTCTAATTTCTGCTTAGCATTTACTGTTGGTGATGCAATTCTCCTTCTCCACCTGCAGTTTTGCTGTGTATTGAGTACTGCTTGTAGGTTGTTTAACACAGTAAGGAAGAACTTTAGATTAGTTTTTATCTTTTCTCTACCGAGGAAGCCCGTAGTATATCACTGGAAACGATTTTGGATTTTCTCTGAATACAACTTGCTTTAATTTAATTTGTCATAGTCTGATACCATGGGCTAAATGTGGATCTTAATTTATTTATAGCTTTGTTCTAGAAATTACCTGTTATTTCATATTATTTTTCTTGACGTCTGATGCATTAATGTTTTACAAGAATCTTTCTTTGGAAGTGCTAAGGTCGTGCTTTTTTTTAAAGATATTACAACGTGGGCAGGTTGTAATAAATGGCATTGTTTTGTTGGGGAAACTGAACATTCAAGCCATCATTTCACGGACCATGAGGCAATAGTATTTCTAGTATTTTTTTTTTCTCTTAAAATAAAAAATTATACCTTGACTACCACCTTTTTTTCTTTCTCTTCCTTTCTAAAATAAAGACCAAACAAAATTAAAGTTTTAAATAGAAATCAGTTTCAATTTAATCTTGTACTTAAGTGAAAAAACGTATTTAATATTATTATATTTTTATTTCTGAAAAAATAAAATCTTATTTTGTATGTGAATTCCATAATAAAATAGAGATATCTTTACATGCACATGTTAATATTAATAAGTATTTAATGTTATAATATATTTTTCTATCTTTATTATTGAATATCATGAAAAAAATTATTATTTTTTAAATATTAAATAAGAACCTTTATTTTCTTTATGAGACTATATTATAGAGGAAAGTTTTCTAAATTGATCAAAAACCTCATTTTCCTTTCCTCTTTGTAAAAGTCTTATCTGTATAACTATAACAAGTAAAAGAAGCTTATATTATTGATGCTTTTAAATTATTATATATATTGTACATGAACAAAGTTTTACTCAAATAATTAATTATAAATATTTGACATTTAATATAACTATGGAAAAACCATTCTATATAATGTTATATAAAAACATATAAAAAAGACAAATATACGAACAAATGTTTTATTGAATCTTGCAATAAGATTTTGTTTTCTGCAAGTCACATGTCCCAGATAAAATTCTAGAAAGAAGCCATACAACATAAGATAGAAAAGCATTAAAAAACCTTTTCATAGGATAACAAACTATAATTTTTGTAATATAAGGTGTGTGCCGAATTGAGGTTGAGCAGTTATGACTGTAATTGGAGCATGAACATAGGAGGAAGATAGCTCAAACTTGAAGTTTTGCAGAATCAGAGACAACGCCATTTTGGCTTCAAGCAAAGCAAAGTTTTGGCCAATGCATATTCGAGGACCCCATCCAAATGGGATAAATGAAACTTTACCATTTGTTGCTTTTGAGATTCCTTCTGAAAATCTTTCTGGTTTGAACTCTTTTGCATCACTTCCCCATAATTCAAAATCACGATGTACCAACACAACTGGAATAGTAGCCAGTGCTCCTGCTGGTAAAGTCATGTTTCCAACTTTAGCTTTCTTCCTTAGGATTCTTGTAACAGAAGTAACTGGTGGATATAATCTTAAAACCTCATACAAAATCATTGTGACCTATAACAATGCCACAAGAAACCATATTAACATTAATAACATTCTTTCAAAAGCTAAGAGATTTATTTTGAAAATAGATAGAAGTTTAACACAAAAGTATCAATTTCGCAACACTTTTTCTATGCATAATAAATTTAACAAAAAATTGCATGTGTGGTAGCAGGTAAACTTGATTTAGTTGAATTGAAATTAAAAAGAGAAAAAAAAAACACTAAGATGAAAATTAAGGTTTATGTTATTGAAGTCACCATTTTTCTATTGATGAAGATTAAGGTTTGTAAGTCACTCTAAGTATTAACTGATAAAGACGAATAAGAGCAGAAAGGCCATTAAATTACTTGAACATAAACCTTTTTATCAATTCTTACATTTAGCAAGTTTATCGACACATTGATTCCTTTCACTAAAATCAATATGTGAACACATTATGAAGACTAATAGTAGCGGAAAAATTAATTTAGGTACTAAAAATATTTATCATTTTTTATAAGGACTATTTTGATTAAAACGTTATTTAATTTATGATTTCCTTAGTTTATAAAAGTTTAACATGTTATCGGTGTAAAATATCTCTATTAATCAATAAATAATCCATCTCGAATATTAATCCACCATTTTTAATAGAAATTCTCTCCATCATGTTTTCCATCTACAAGGTTCAAAGATGTAGTTTCAAAATTAAGAGCATATGTCTAGTTTTAGACATTTATGAATGCTGTATTCAAGTTAAGTTAAGTTCTCTCGTTTCAACATAAATTATATTTTCAATCCAGTGATACTTTATAATGATTTAATCAAGTAAGATAAAAATTGATACTTACAACTTTAAGACGATTTAATCCATCATAGTCTGGTTCTTTTGTGCCAAAAATTTCAACGACTTCTTCTCTTGCCAGTGTTTGCCATTTGGGAAATCTACTCAATAACACCATCGTCCAATTTAGTAGCACCGATGTTGTTTCTTGTCCAGCAAAGTAAAACAACTTACATTCGTTAATTACATCATTGGTGTTCATTCCAAAATCTTTCTTAAGTCCTTGATCTTCAATCTCTTTTTGATTGGATTCCAATAGTAACCCTAATAGGTTATCATTGGAAGCTTCGCATGTTTTCATAATACCCTCTTGCTTTTGGATAATTCCACGAAGTACGTTTTCAATTTCGTAGTCAATCTTTTTCATCCTCTTGTTTAATGTAGTTGGTAGAAACCTAATAATTTGAAAAAGGAATATAGCGATTTAACTTAAATCTTATCAAATATAGTTAGGATAGACTCTAACTTGATTCTAATATTGTGTTAAGAAATGAATTTTAAGTCCAACTCAATCTCACAAAACTCACTCATAAGGTGAGGTTTACACTCACCTATATACTATAAATTGACCTTATACGTGGACTTCCAACCCAATGTATTTCTTTGTTAAATAAAAAGTTGACAAATTTAATAATATACCTCCACCCTGGAATGTAAATAGATCGAAAGACCTTAGATGTAAGTTGAGCTTGTTCTTTTAGGAGTTGAAATACTATTTTTCCTTCTTCATAGTTACTTCCGAAAGCTGTACGAGAAATCACATCAGCTGTCAAGTTGTTTAAGAATGGCCAGACATCTACCATGCATGATCCTGTTTCACACACTAACATCTTCCATTCCTTCATCATCTGGTTGCAACTATCATACATGGCAGGCAACACAAGCTGCAAAACATTTCAGACATTATAAAAGGATGAAGATATCGAGTGAAAAATATTCAATGGAACATTACTCCATGAAAACTAATATCACAGATTTAACATATCATGTTAAAACAAGAAGAAATTTGTAGTAAGAAAACTAAAGAATATATGATGAGAAAGAAAAGAAAAACCTTGAGCTTGACGAGATTAAATGCAGGGTTGATGATCTTTCTGTGCTTTGACCATTTGTCACCCTCAAGATCTACAAGTCCTGTTATCAGGAACTTGCCAAGTGGATTAAGGTTTGGCTTTGGAAAGTCATTTATCATGTTCAGAACCTCTTTTATTGCTTCAGGATCCATAATATTCACTGTAATCTTAGGACCATACCAGAAAAACGAATTCCTACCTGCAAAAATCATAAGTTATTTTCTAATTAACTTATTTAACCCTTAAAGTTATATATACTCAAGGTATTATTAGAAGGCATACCAGAAACTTTAACCAATTGATCTTGAAATGGGACTAGGCGAGTTGCAACATCGTCATCGATGTGTATGGGTTTAGAATGTGCTTGATGAAACATCATGGTTAATTCTTTTGTGTCTCCAAAGAAAAGCTTGTATGAGTTTCCCTTTATGCCTTGTCTTCTGAGGAATCTCTCTGCCCTTTTCGGTTCCAACCACACCCAACTCAGTACTTTTGTTAAGAATATGATAACAAATGCAACCAGAAATCCAACAGACATCATTGCTGCATCAACTTCCATTTCCAATGTAAAAAATGTCTATAGTTGGAAGTTAAGTGTATGCATGTTTATATCTGAAACAGAGAAGAGTATCTCGACAAGGTTATGCATATGTACGGACAACAACAACCTCCAACCAGCCTATAAGATGCATAACCTCCAAAGACACGTATCGTTGAAATTTACGAGAGAACGACCTCTGCTTTCTGTAAACTTTGTTTCTTTTGTTTTATAAATATTGGACGGCTCCTGGTGTCGTAAAGACACGATGAAAATCTATTCACTATTTAAAGAATTTTACTACTAGGTAAACTACCAATCTACTTCGGGTGTTGCTCCACCACCACCGTATATTTCCTCCACCTCCCCACATTATTTTAAATACAATTATATCCTTAAGTTAAAAATATTTTTACTTTTATCCTATTTTAAATAATTTGAAATCCTAATTTTATTTTCCTAGCACCCACCCACGGAACTCTCTTCCCCTTTCCCCATTTCCGTTTCACCTCCCCACCTCCCACGCTTCCATTCCGTTTTCTTCAGTTTTTACAAAATCATTACGTTTAAAAACTAATTATATATCACATCCAAAATTAAAAATGTAAATATAAACTAATATAAATATACATTATTAAAATACATTAAAAATATATTCAAAAATAATAAATCAAAACATTTAAATTAAATTATTAAAATACCTAATAAACTAATAAAACAAACCCTAAAAAAATGAAACCTTTAAACGGAGGTGACATCCTTCAACGAATGTCACCTCCGTTTAAAAGTTTTAATTTTTTATTTTAGGGTTTTATGTCATGGTTTATTCGAGTACACACCTGGAGGAAGCATCACACACGCACTGCACCACTCCACGCACTGTACCACGAGAGCGACACTACACCACCACGAGAGGAAGACTGCTTGATAATTCTTTCCACCACCATCAACCTTTGCAACTTGTAGTATCTCACAGCAGACCAAAGAAAGAGAGGAACAAGTATAATGTTAAAATGAAAGAAAAATATTTTACTCATACACGGTACTACAATAGGTTATTAGTGAAATAGGTTATAAAGGGGTAAAATTAAAAAATAATAACCCTAAAAATAAAATTTTACTGAGGGGCAAAATAGTAAAGGGGAGGTGGAGGGAGAAAGGTGTAGTGGTGGAGGGAGCAACACCCATCTACTTGATAATGTTACTGGGCCTACAGCCTTGCAGCCCAGTCCATCCTTTTTCCTTCTTTTTATTTTCTCTCTTTGATTCATTCTTTCACTTTTCAATAACACTAAATCATTTATGGATTCTTCTTTCACACGCGTCTTCTCTTTCTCTTCTCTGTCTACTCTTTCTCTTCTATTTGTTTTTCGTTCCACTATGTCTAGGGTTGGTTTGCAAGGTATTCTCCTTAAAGGTATGGTTTTCACGCTTCCTTCATCAATTATTTGCATTGTAAATATCTTAGAATGTTCTTTGTCTTCTACATTTCGTCTACTATCTTGATAAGGTATCAGAACTCTTCTTTTGAAGAGCTCTTCTTTTCTCTCTTTTTTTTGGGTTTTTCTTTCTTTTCTATTCTTGCTTCAGTTGAAGACAACTTCGTTCACAATTACTTGTACCTTCATCTTGGCAAGAATCTAGCCGTTGCTCTTGTTTCACCGGTTTTCGATGATACAAATTATCATTCTTGAAGTCGCTCCGTGTTAACTGCTCTTAGTGCCAAAAACAAGATCAAATTTGNACGCTTCCATTCCGTTTTCTTCAGTTTTTACAAAATCATTACGTTTAAAAACTAATTATATATCACATCCAAAATTAAAAATGTAAATATAAACTAATATAAATATACATTATTAAAATACATTAAAAATATATTCAAAAATAATAAATCAAAACATTTAAATTAAATTATTAAAATACCTAATAAACTAATAAAACAAACCCTAAAAAAATGAAACCTTTAAACGGAGGTGACATCCTTCAACGAATGTCACCTCCGTTTAAAAGTTTTAATTTTTTATTTTAGGGTTTTATGTCATGGTTTATTCGAGTACACACCTGGAGGAAGCATCACACACGCACTGCACCACTCCACGCACTGTACCACGAGAGCGACACTACACCACCACGAGAGGAAGACTGCTTGATAATTCTTTCCACCACCATCAACCTTTGCAACTTGTAGTATCTCACAGCAGACCAAAGAAAGAGAGGAACAAGTATAATGTTAAAATGAAAGAAAAATATTTTACTCATACACGGTACTACAATAGGTTATTAGTGAAATAGGTTATAAAGGGGTAAAATTAAAAAATAATAACCCTAAAAATAAAATTTTACTGAGGGGCAAAATAGTAAAGGGGAGGTGGAGGGAGAAAGGTGTAGTGGTGGAGGGAGCAACACCCATCTACTTGATAATGTTACTGGGCCTACAGCCTTGCAGCCCAGTCCATCCTTTTTCCTTCTTTTTATTTTCTCTCTTTGATTCATTCTTTCACTTTTCAATAACACTAAATCATTTATGGATTCTTCTTTCACACGCGTCTTCTCTTTCTCTTCTCTGTCTACTCTTTCTCTTCTATTTGTTTTTCGTTCCACTATGTCTAGGGTTGGTTTGCAAGGTATTCTCCTTAAAGGTATGGTTTTCACGCTTCCTTCATCAATTATTTGCATTGTAAATATCTTAGAATGTTCTTTGTCTTCTACATTTCGTCTACTATCTTGATAAGGTATCAGAACTCTTCTTTTGAAGAGCTCTTCTTTTCTCTCTTTTTTTTGGGTTTTTCTTTCTTTTCTATTCTTGCTTCAGTTGAAGACAACTTCGTTCACAATTACTTGTACCTTCATCTTGGCAAGAATCTAGCCGTTGCTCTTGTTTCACCGGTTTTCGATGATACAAATTATCATTCTTGAAGTCGCTCCGTGTTAACTGCTCTTAGTGCCAAAAACAAGATCAAATTTGTGTTTGGAAATGTTAGTCCACCTAAAAAAGACAAGCGGGGGCATGCCATCAGGAATCGCGAAAATAACATGGTCGTCTCATGGATCGTCCACTCTGTTTCCTTGTTCATCAGACAAAGCATCATATGGATGAACAAAGCCTCGAAGATCTGGAACGATCTAAAGAACACATTTTCTCAAGGAAGTCTCTCTCACATTTCTAGCCTTCAACTTGACATTGTAACCCTTCATCAAGGTGACCTTACCATTTTTGAGTATTTCACTAAACATCGCATTCTTTGGGATGAGATCAAAAATTTCCATCCAGAACCTCTTTGTACCTATAAACCCGATTGTGGTTGTCAAGTCCTGACTGTCGTGAAACAAAGAAAGCAAGAAAATCAAGTTAAGCAATTTTTACAGGGATTAAATAATCAATTTAGTAATGTTACCTCGCATATGCTTCTCTTGGACCTTATTTCGGCATCATCAAGGTTTTCTCTTTGGTGGCACAACAAGAAAGACAGTTGTTAAGTGGAAATTGTTAGCAAAATGATGAAGATGAAGTTTTGATGATGTCCAAATCAAGTCAAGAGAAATCAAGATTCAAGATGTTATGAAGACTTGTATTGCTATGGAAAGCTTTTGTAATAATTGTAGTTTAGTGTCTAGGACTTAGATTTTTAGTAGTTTTGATTCCATGTAATTTTATATTATATAATTAATGTCCAGAGTCAAAATCGCACTGTTTTAATCGATTAAAACGAGTATTAATCGATTAAAACGAGTAAAAGCTGAAAACTCAACTTTTTCCGATTTAATAGATTAAAATAAATTTTAATCTATTAGCTAATCGATTAAAATACATTTTAATCGATTAAATCTGACCGTTGGAGTTTTACAGCTTTTGAAAACTAGCCGTTGCACCAATTTTAATCGATTAAACACTTGTATTAATCGATTAAAAGCGTTAAATGGCAAGTTACAAAGAACGAAAGAGTATTTGTGTGAGTCTATAAATAGGCTCTCATTTTCCATCAACAATAACTCTTCCCTTGTGTTCTAGTACTCAGAAATCATTGAGACTTGTGTGTTCTTGTTCGGCATGTGAAACTCGTGTCTGCGGAGCTGGTGAAGTGCTGCTACGGTGACAGAGGAAATAGCCGGTTCATCCTTGGTGTGTCTAAGGAGGTGTTCGGAAGAGGAAGTTCATCCTTCGTGAAGTATTCGGAGGAGGTGTTCATCCTTTGTGAAGACTCAAAGGAGGTGCAGGTTCATCTCTTGTGGTATCAAGAGAGGTGGTTTCTAAACTTTTACAAATTGTTTCTTTGTGATTGTAATTTGTAATTGTTTTGTGAGTAGTAAACTGTTTATCTTGTTTTGAGATAAACGATTGGACGTAGGATTGGTAAGATCCGAACCAAGATAAAATCATCTGTGCAAATTTCTCTCAACCTTACTCTTGTTATTAATTTATATTATATGCTTAGTAAGTAAAACTGAGTAGAAATTAAAAGGCACACGTTCGTATTAAAAACCCTCTTTGTTTGTTATTCCACGCTAACCATTCCGCTGCAGCCGCTCTGACAGAAATCTGATTGTTGCGGTTAAAACTCAAGACACTGGTATTGCCACCGCTTGCACCGCTTCAACCTCTTCCATTGTTTGTAACTATTGTGGGAAGTATGAGCATAATGAAGTTGTCTACTACCGCAAGAATGACTTCCCTAATCAAGACAAAGGTTTCAAAAACACACCGACTGGTAGAAAACATTGCACTCATTGCAACAAAAGCGGTTATACAATGGATGTTTCCTATAAAAAGCACGGTTATCCTCTAGGACATAAGTTTGATAATAAGCACACCCAGATTCACCATACCTCTATCCAAGAAGACAATGAGAATATCAAAGACAACAATTCTAATAGTACTAATCACATACGCCTCACACCTCAACAATTCCAAGTTCTTGTAGAGCTCTTCAAAGGACACAATCTGAATGATGCTTCCACTTCTGCTCAAATTCACCACATTGGATCTGCTTCGGCAAACCAACCTCCTTTAGGTAATATCTACCCTCCTTTTACTTCCAATTATCCTAAGACCAATTGGA